AAAAAAAAAAAAAAAAATCTTAATAGGAATCTTGAAATTTCTAATTGTAAATAATGTCACTGTCATCTTTTTAAAACTGTAAACTATAGGGGCGCCTGGCTGGCTCAGTTGGTTAAGTGTCCGACTTCGGCTCAGGTCATGATCTCACGGTCTGTGGGTTCGAGCCCCGCATATCGGGCTCTGTGCTGACAGCTCAGAGCCTGGAGCCTGTTTCAGATTCTATGTCTCCCTCTTCCTCTGACCCTCCCCTGTTCATGCTCTCTCTCTGTCTCAAAAATAAATAAATGTTAAAAAAAAAACAAAAAACTGTAAACTATATACAAATGAAGAAGTGACTGCTTCGTTCCACAGGTTTTAGGTAGTACACTATGTTGTTTCAATTTAATTACATATTACCATCATTTGATAATTTCATTCAGTGATTATAGATTTAGCCAAAACGGTAAAAACACATTTTTTGGATTTTTCTCAGGGGAAAGTGGGGAATTGCCTAAAACACTGTCTTCTCTTTGAGTATATATGGCCTCTCCCCTGAACCCAATCTCCATGTATGACAGGAAGAAGCATGGAAAAGTAAATAGCACAATATTTGTGTTAGTGAAACCATTAGGAAATGTCGGAGACTAGTTTGGGCGTTAAGCCCACCCACTGCGGTCTCAACCCTTGATATTCCCAGTGAGTTGAAAAAAATCACAGTGATTTTACTTATGGATGTGTTTCTGTGTATTTAAATGTAGTCAAAAGAATGGTCATTTTTCTGAGGCTGTTAATATCCTATCCTGAGATGATGAAAATATTGGTTGGTAGTTTTTACTGCCTTCTGTTAAAATTAAGTTGGTAGCCATGTGGGCCATTTTACGGATCCGTGAAATTCAAATCTGGGAATCGCTGGGTGGATTGATCCTAGAGATCCTTTCAGCCTTACCTTTCTATGTATGTCAGGAAGCAGGGCCTCCCCGCGCCCTCCCCCCGCCCCAACCATTATCTCCGGCATCCTTGGCTCTAGGCCAGTGTAGCCGCACAAGCCTCCCCCACCAGTCGCTGCTGATTTGGTCTCTGGGATACAGTGCACCTGTGTGGTTCTGACCCTCATCTCCTTCAGGGCTGAATCCATTTCTCAGGGACGCATCCCCTGGCCATTATATAAAATTCTAACTCCCACCCACAGCATGCATTCACCTCTCCCTGTGCCCTTTCCTTCTTTTACACTCTCTCATACAGTTTTATTTATCCTGTTTATTGTGTCTGCACTAAAATGAATAATAGAACTGAGACGATCCTGGGTCCCCTCAAGGGGATGACTGCACCTTTTCTTCTCGCCAGTGCCCTTTTCCTTTTCCTTGTTTCCCCAAACCCCAAACCTTCCAGAGCAACTAAAGTTGCACTTCCCTGGCATCACTGACCACCCACATCCCCTAAGCTGCCTCTTCACTGACCTGCTCCCTGAGCCCCCAGCAAAAAGACCTTTCTTCACCCAGGCTCTGGTACTCACTTCCTGATACTAAAGGCGTTTGTGGCTACTCCTGCCAGCCTAGCAGCACAGCAGGTTAACAGCACACACTAGCGTCGCTCCAGATCTGGGTTCTGATGCCCACCTGGCGACCATCAACCCGCAGTGGCTTACCATCTCCGAAACTTGGAGAACAAGCTTGAGAAGTCCAGCCTGTGCCAGCTGTCTTCTCTGGTCCCAGGACCTTTATCGATTTTAAGGGGTGAACTTCATGTCCCTGGCCCTTCTTTCCAGGTGGCTTTGAACTCTAGATTTAGTTCAGTGACACGACCAGGTTGGAGGGTTCCATGAGGTTTTAATAATACTGTAATAATACTGTTTAATAATACTGAACAAAAACAACACACACGTGTCCACTTGCAGAGACACATATGCGCACACACCTCTTCCTCTCCACATCAACTCTGAGGTAGAAAGTGTACTGCCTAAAGTATAAGAAACATTCTGGGCTGAGCCCTGGCCCAGACCACAGATTCAGAAGCACTTGGTTGAAAGGTGGCCCCTAGAGAGCAGGACCAGAGTCGGGGCCAGCGGCACAGAGGCCTTGGGAAGGTTGACAGGGGCCACTAGTTGGACATCCCCGGCTTCCACCGTGACAGCTTACTCAGGAGTAGCTGGAGAGGGTAAGAGATGAAGCTCGGGTGGCAGCTGATCCTGCTCAGGTCCCAAGGATAGAATGTTCCTGGCACAGAAATTGCTCCCAGTAAACATTTGTTGAATGAACTGAATGACGGGTGGGGCAGGGAGGAAGAATTCTGGAGAACACATCCTGCAGGTCCTGGACCTTCTAGCCCAGGACACGGAAACCAAGGGGTAGGACAGCACCTCTACCAATTTTAGAGGTGGCCAGGGAGGTGAAAATGCCAGCACTAGGAACTTTGGGGCACCAGCTATACTGGTTGGCAGGGGAAGGGGGGGGGGTCTCTTCTTTCCTCCCAAAGTGCCTTGTACATAACTAGGGCCCTTGAGCCTCCAGGGCCCAGCCTTTCTCATCTCGTTCTTGTCCTTGAAATCAGGCCTCTGCCTTATTCAGCTCTGGTCTCCGGTGCCCGGCACATCAGGCATTAAGTGCTTCTTGAGTGAATCAAGAGTGAATCGGTTCCACCAACTGATGCCATCTGTTCTGTCCCCTGCTGGGTCTGACCCTGCCTCAAAGGACCCCGTTCACCTCTCCCTTCTGTGGCAAAGCAGCCTCATCCCTAACCCTGGGGAAAAAGGTCTGAGCCAACTGGGCCATGCGCCTGTTCTGAGGCAGCCGACGCCACTCGAGGGAGCCGAGGCCTCGGGTCCCATCCACGCGGTCAGGCTCCCAGCGGCAGCTAGGGTGCAGCCAGCGGTAGTAGACAAGCCGCAGAGCCAGGCCCAGGAGGACGCAGACGCCGCCCACAGGCAGCAACGTCTGCAGTGGGATCCCACTGGGCAGCCAGGCGATGTGAGTCAGCCAAGTGACCGCCATGAGAACACTGTCACTCAGGAGGAACACCAGGTGGATGGCGGCGCGGCCTCGGGTACGGCCCTCGGCCACGTTGAACCAGGAGAAATAAAGAATGGTGGCCACGGTTGCCCGGTACAGCCACTCGGAGCAGGAATCTGGCATGAAGTCCGTGCCCTGAAGCCAGACCCAGAAGAGCAGCACCAGCCACAGGCCCAAGAAGTGCAGAGCCACATAGTGGGGGAAGAGAGCTGAGAAGAGGGCCACGACGAAGACTCGGGGCCACAGCAGCAGCAGGTTCCACAGGAAGTAGACCACAGAGGAGCCTGGCCCCAGGGGCGGCTTGGAGGGGAGGCAGGTGCGCAAGGCCCGGTGGTAGTCAAGCAGAGCCCACGAGATACCCACGAAGGATGTGCAGATGCCGACCCCTACAAAGAGCAAGTGGAAACAGGTGAGCCCTGTGGGCAGCCTTCCTGGCGCTCCCTAGAGGTTACAGCCCCCCAGAGGTGGGTGTGGCAGCCCCTGATAGCTGAAGGGAAACTACACCTGGAAAACATCCATTCAGGCAACCAAACACCGAGCTGGGGTTCAAATATGGAGTCTGCCCTGCACCACAAAGCTTTACTTTTCAGGTACTACCATGGTGATATTCTTCACGGATGAAGGGGGTGTGACTTACCCTCATCTGCACCCTGTACCCAGCATCCAGGACCCCGGGCCCTGGCCACACCCTGAGCATCTTCTGGGGCCCTGTAACCCCTTCCTTTCCCGGAAGAGCCCAAGGCTTTCTTGGGACTGAAAATCAGCAATCCCAGTTCCCCTTCTGTGGTCCCAGAAATGGAAGCAGGAAATCCCAGGGTTTCCTGGGTGAAGCCGCACTCCGGGCCAGGAGGGATGTCTCTGCCACACAGATAGGATGTCTCAGCTCAGGCTGGGCCTTCGTCTTGCTTGATTTCTCGACACTCCAAGGTTACGGTGGAGATTCTATCCCACCTCCTGGTCGCCCACCCTGGACTAGAAACACTGGACCTCCAGGGAGGGATAGAGGCAGCGCTGGAATGTCTCTAGAATGCTTCCTCCCCTGCCCTTTCCCACGGTGGTCAGTCAACAGGTGTTTACTGGGAACCTGTTATGGACTAGGAAGCCCGCCCCCACCCTGGAAGCAGATCTGTGGCCCACGTCCCTTTCAAACTACCTGGCTGATATCCTTCCAGTTTGCCCAGCACACCGCATTCTCTGACCTGGACAAGCTTAGCCCACAATGTTAGGTAGACCAGGAGCACGTGCCCTGCGAGTTCCAGCCTGAATGGCCCCTGAGGACACTTATCCTGACCCTACTCCACCCCACCCCGCTCTTACAGGTTACCGGTGACCTGTAACATCTCAGCCACTTCTGTCTGGAGTCTTAGCACACGGTAATTATCAATCTCCTTGTCTCCGAGCTCCTTGAGGGGACGAAACATTCTGCTCTGCTGGGACCCCTGGAGCCCAGTACCTGGCACATAATAGCAGCTACATAAATGTTCACTAAATAAAGTTAGGAAAAGCTGTGTCTTCCCTCACTCCCTGCCTCCCATGCACATAGAGTGTAGACTGGCTCCATGTAGCCCTGATCCTAGACACCCACATCCCTCAAACGGACAAAAATACGTGCCCAGTGGATGCTATGTGCCCCGGGCAGATTACTTCACCTTTCTGCACCTCTTCCCTCTCAGGTAAAATGGAGAGAAACGTAGCACAACCTGTAGGGCTGCTGTGCGTGGGAGTAATGCCGACCATACAGCACTTTACAGGGGGCCCGGCTGATAGCTGGCCCTCGATCGTCATGGCCGCTGTTACTGTCATTCATCCTGACTCAGAAGGCTAAAGGGTTGAACGCAGACCTGCCGGGCTAAAGGGTATTCTCCTGTTTTCTAAGCAGCTTTTATAAAAGAGTGAAAACACTCCTGACATTTGTCGGAAGCTTTCCCAAGCCATGAAAAGGGGGGCTGGCCACTGGCCCCATCACTCACACTGGTAGGACTCGGCCCGGCCGCTCTGCAACACAATGGCCAGCACCAGCGTGAGCTGTGGAGTCGTCTCCAAGAAGGTCTCAAAGAGCCGCAGCATGCTGATGTCCAGAGTCAGGAAGTCGGCATAAGCCAGGTCAAAGTCAGAGGGCGCCTCCTGCTGCCACACCAGCAGCCCCTGCTGCAGCCCCTGCACGCACCTAGGCAGCACATACGGATGCCCCAAGGGGCCAGGTTAGTGTCCTGCGATGTTCCACCTTCCCTCCCCCGCTGGGTAGATGCGGACGGGCTCCGATCCTAGTCTGTCACTTACATGCCGTGGGGCCTTGGGCACCAGTGACTTAACCTCACTGAACTTGTTTCCCATCGTAAAGTGGGGACCAATACAACTACCGCCACTCCAGCTGGCCAGCACGTCCCAAGGTCATCACAAACCTTGTCCCATGTACTCCTTACAACATCCCCATTTGACAGATAGGGAAACAGGACGAAAGCGCTAATAAATGGTGGAAACAGGATTTGAACCCAAAGCTGTCTGAATTTCAAAGGCATACTATGAAATTGCTTCAGGTGATAGTTCTCAAATGTTAGCAAGCATAAGAATTTCTTAGGATCCTGTGGGGAAGGGGGGGCCACTGAGAGCTTCTGAGCCCGGGCAAGATAGGTCAGACTGTGCTATGGAAAGATCACCCTGGCTGTGGAGATGTGGGAGGGATGGAGGGGTTAGAATGGAAGCACAGATCCATTTAAGAGGACTGCCCAGAGTGATGGGCATGGAGTCCAAGGCAGAGTTAAAAGCGAGCCCAGAGGCTGGAGAGATAGGCATGGGTGACCGACCCATTGGCATGAGGGAGGTAGTGGAAGGTGCCCCAAGATCTCCCCCACCCAGAACTGACCTCGGTTGTCCACTGGGAGGTGAGTCCATTCACTCACTGTGAATTCATTCATCAGACATTTACTGTCACTTTTCCTGGACAGACTTGACAATACACTAAGGGAGCAGGGGGGCAGGCCCAGGTTGGGGCTCTCCCTCAGCAGGAGCCTCTGCCTCTGGTCCCCAAGGGCCCTGCCTCAGTCTAGTCACAGACAGGTAGAGACCCCATTTTCAAAACCAAAGTTCAGTATAGTCCGTCTGCCTCGTGCTCAGCAGAAACAGAAGGGAAGACACATGATACAGTTATGGATTCAGGGCTCATTGAGGCCCACTGGGATGGGGTAGCTGCACCCCTTCATGCCCGGCTGGCACGTAACTGATGCCTGTGCAGTCCCTCAGGCAAAACTCCAAGATTCCAAGCTCCTCTTGTCCACCCCCGGAGACTCAACGCAGCTTCGTCAGAGCAAGATGTGGAGAGCATCTGTGAAATGGATTCGAGAGCAGATCCTGCCTCCAGCCACCCCATCCCTACCCAGATCACATCACGTCCTGACTTCATCACACGGCTCTGATCCCTTGGTTTCAGTTTCCTCAACTCGAGGGGGCCCTGCCAGTGCTGAAAAGGAGTACAGTCCACACAGATTTGCTGGGCCCCAGCCTGTGCCCGGCCCTGGCTGGCTCAAGGGGCATGGATGAGTCAGACCCCATCTCTGCCCTCTTGCCGGCGCTGGGGGTGCGGGGGTGGGGCAGGGAGAACAAAAGTGGGAAAGAAGGGCTGAGAGAACGGGGCTCTGCTCTGGGGGGTCCCGGCTGCTGAAGCTCCCCAGGGACCCAAGTAATCAAGCTGGCTGACATTTGTCGAATGCTTACCCTGCATCAAAGCAACTTACAGGTCTTAGTTCGTTTAATCCCTCCCAAACTGAGGCAGGCACTATAACCATCCCCACTGGAACAAAGAGTAAACTGGGACCCAGAGGGCTCAAGTGACTCGCCCAAGGCCCCATCCACAGCCAAAAGGAACACCTGGGTCTGCCATTACCCTAGATTCTGCCAAGACCCCCGGCACCATGCTAGTCACGTTCCCACTCTTGCCTTCGCTCCTCACAATAGCCCCCCCGCCCCCGCCCCTGC